CACTACAACTTTCAAAGAATGGTGGAAATCCTTTTCATTTTATGCAGGAAGACATCCGCCAATTACATCAGTGTCTTCTCTTAGTATGGTAGCCAGGGAGATTTAGGTTTGGCATTGCATACTATTTGTGGCTCTCCCTTGGCAATAGATTGCCTAGTGCACGTGACCTGTATCTCAGCTCTGCTAGGAAGATAACCTCATGGTAACTCCAGAGATGATTGTAACCAGTTGGGAACTGGACAGCCCACCTTTAATCTTTTGTAGAGAAGAATATTCTATGGAAAGCCTTTGATATTTCCCAATATAAATAAAGCAGGTTCAGGGCTCCATTTTGGCATAGTATAGAAGCTCCATCTGTCTGATCGGCTTGCCTGTCCTGCCCCCGCTTTTGAAATTCTTTTCTGTGTCCTGTGACTTTTTCGCCATTCTATTTTTCTTTTTATTTCTTTTATTTCTCAGCCAGCCCATTCCACTGAGGGGAACCCCACTTCCATTACCTGTGCAGGATGCAGGGGAGAATCTTACATTTAAGGAATCATAACATGCCAGAAATTTTAGTTTCAAAGTGATTTTAAATATTTCAGATTCATAAATTATCTTCTTGAAGCAAACAAATGATAGCCTATTTCAAAATAATTAAAGCTAGAGAAGCAAATCCTCTGTAATAGTTTTACTTCCTGTATATGGTTCAATAATTCTTGATTTGAAATTATTTTAATAAAGTTGTATTAAATCTACTAAGGAATCTCTTGATAAGGTTCATAGAATGAAAAAAAATGCAAGCTTTGTATTCCTTCAATTGTAAAAAATAGAACTGCAACTTAAATGTGAATTCTAATTTGGAACATTAGTAATTAGCTAATTTTACTGTTTTGTAATTCTTTCATTCATGAATCGCTGTGAGAGCTGAAGAACATTACAACCCAATAGGAAATGAAAAGAATGATGTCAGTTAAGGTTAGTCATAGAGCATGGCTTTCATTTTAATCTTGCTTTGGTTTCATAGAAATTTAAATCCATTCAATCAAAAATACTTCCAAATGTCACTTCTTCTAGGAGAAAGATTTAGTCATTTAGTGAGTTACTTTTCTGATCCTCATTGCTATGTTTTATTTGCCTCTTAATTGAAAATCAGTTATATGGGCACAGTGTATGATTTCTGTGTCAAGGGTGTAGAGTCCTGAGGATACTGGTTAAGAAGGACCCATGTAAGTGACAGTTTTCCTTCTCCTGCTACACCCTTAAAAGATATGTAAAAGTTATTGGTCAAATGCATATGCAATGTCTTGATTTAATTTCAAAAACCCTGTTTTCACCCCCATGCAGTATACTGATGTATAGTCAAAACTGTGGTAACAGACATATGGAAATTTATCATCCATTTGTTTTTTGTTACTTTAACTTTCCCAGATCAATATTTGATTTAAGTCAATATATAGATTATAATTTGAGAAATAATCAATGAAATGGTATCTATTACAGGAAATATTAAAATTTAGTTTTTGAAAATAAAATTAAAATTGTGAAAACTAAATTTTCTTGGAAACTGAAATCATCCACAGTCTTTACAGTTTTCATCCATAAATCCATTATAGTAGGAAATAACAAATTTACTTCCATTTTGATGGTTATACTGCTGGTTATGGAAAATTTAATGTTGGTCACCCCTTTCTTTCATCTCTGGTTCAAACTAGCATTGTTACACAAGGCTGAAGAATTGCAGAAGCTGTCATTTTACTTTCAAGTCATTTATACTTGTAGGTTTCTGTGGAGATACCTGTCCTTCCATCTGAGCTTGGACAGAATGAGTGATGGTGCTTCTCATTTCCATAAATTTCATTTAAAATTTGGGAGATCTTTTCACATATTTCTATCTCTCCTTAGATGACTGGGACCTATTAGGTGCCTCTGCCCTTTGCCCTGGAGCATGGACACCCCTGAGACTATTTGGTGTCTCAATCTGCCTTACACCCCCAATCCAAATAATGTATATAACTTATTCACAAAAAATATATGCAAACCAGAAAAGTAGTCTTGAAAAGGTACTTCAAATGAAGATATTCAAAAATAAAGTATGTAAAAATATCATCAATATCGTAAATATCATAAATTGACAGTGAAATTCGACTGTGTATTTTGTCTAACACATTTTGAAAAATGACAAAGGTGTTCTGTATATAAAGCAATTACATCTCTAAAGAGATGAAATATAAGTTGGTTAATATCATTTGTAAACATTTGGATAATATGATTTGTGTAAAATTATATGATAAAACATGACCCTGTAGTTTTTACTTATATATCTATTCATATATCCTCCCCCACATGCACATAAGAGTAACCAAGTTTATATTATTCATAACTTTCCACCAAGTGTATGATTGATAATCAAAAGTGGTACATTTATGAACTGGAAGATTATAGATCAATAGTTTTTAAAGCAGTGTCTCTAGGCCATGGGCATCAATACTGACAGGAATTTGTTAGAACTGCAAATTCTTATTTAGAGAATCAAATAAGAATTTATTTAAAAAATCATCAGGGAAGTTTTGATGTATGTTTAGGTTGAGAAGCACTGATTTATATGCAAAAATAAAATAAAACAAAGCAAATATATGAAAAACTGCTGTCCTATGCTAAACCAAGAGTAATACTATGGTTAGACATTGATGGAGAGTATAAGGGAACTCCTGCTGTAGTTTTCTATTAGGATGCTGATTACCAGGTGTCTACTTTGACAAAATCCATAAACATGTACATAGAATTTGATAATTTATACTTATATGCATCATTATAATAAAATAGTGTAAAATATAGTATACTCAAATGCTAACTCAGTTCTTTTAATGACATATGTCTGATAATATGTGATTATTTTCTTTCTTAAATTGTGCGCTATCCTTCTACATGCATAATAAAATTTACTTATTTATTTTTTGGGGAAAGTAAGTAGTATTTATTTTAAGAAAATATATCTGTCTCATCCACAGCCCAATTGTTCCATGGCATGAGGGTAGGTTGTAGATCGGCCAAAGAAAGTGCCCAGAGAGAGCATGGGAGACATGGTTTGTTAGGGAAAGCATAGAAAAAAATTAGATAATTCTCCACAAGAATTTAATAGTGACAGGCTGAACAGATAGCATCTCAGCCCCTCACAGTGCTTTGCCAAGCAGTGCCTCCTCTCCCTCACAGCATTTTGTCCAGTAGCAGCGGCTGGATGCGTGACACATATCCTTTCCACACTTTCCTCCCTTTTGATCCTGCTCCACTCAGAGAGGGTTTCATATGTTCAGCTGCAGAAACAGTAACATTGTGAACATTGATTTGATAAGTTTGATTGCCTGACAGCATCCCAAGGAGGAACTAACTGTCCTGGCTTATGTGCAAGAAGGTAGCTTTCTACAGACAACACTAACTTGCCTGGTTCCCAATGTGCATAAGAGAAAGCCAGTGTCCTTTAAGATAATATGTATTTGGACTTTCTGGTCCAGAATTGCTCTTATTGTTCCCTTAATTTGGCTACGTTTTGGGGAAGAAAAAGAGGGAATCCAAGGACATGCTGTTTTACTTGTCTCTTGATTTTTTTAAATGATGATAAAATATCCAACCGATCATTAGACTTTGTACACTTGTTTGTATGTCAGACTTTAATAACTTGAAAAATAATTAAAATTGTCCCTTTTCAGTCATTCATGTCAGTACTGTTTATTTGAGCTTTATTTGTTCGACACCAGCATCTGGTAGGCATTTTACATATGTTGCTTTGTTAAATTTTGCTATGAAATGGGTAGTATTCCTATTCTGGAGATAAAAGTACTGAGGTTTAGAAAAACTCAAAGTACTAAATGGCAAAACTAGGAATAGGAAATTCTTTTCCATTTCAAGTTCATATTTCTAATGTAACTTGTGGCCACATTATAACAGAAAAAAATTGATACTTTCCTTTTTTGCACAAAATTAATTATTATATCTTTACAGAATGAGATGATGAGAGAGGCAAAGGAAGCTGATGATGCTATGAATAGCATTATTCACTGTGGACTAGCCCAGATTACAGATATTGTCAGGACCAAGAGGAATTTTAATAGTCATCTAATTTAAGATGAAGTGAATTTCCATTGAAATCACCCCTTGAATTGGCACCTTGGTTTCTAATAAGTGAATCTTTTTAAATTTTTTTTAATTACCAAAACTCTTCTTATATTAAAGGCCAAATACTGTACAATTATATTAAAATTTTTATAAATATGAATATTTTGTGTCTTATACCCAGTAGGTTCATTTCTCCCTTTTGTAGTCCTATAGGATCATTCACATTACATCACATCAACTATTTAAAGAAAGCTATTGTTGTTCCTTATATCTACTCTCATTGTTTCTTCTAAGTTTTTTTTTAATATTACTGATATTTGAGTCACATAATCATCCTGATCAGGTCCTTGTGAATGCTCAGAGGAAATATTTTAACAATTATGATTATAAAATTTGGAAATGAAATTATATTTGGGTATGCAAAGTAGTTGTTATCAGAATTACAGGAGATAATCCAAAATGACCAATGCTAGAGTCTTAAAGAGATTTCCTGAAGCTAATGTGTACACATTTCCAAGCTCTGTGAAATAGAGAAAGTTATGACCTACTTAATTCATAACTTCCTTCCTCTGCAAATGGGATATATGGATTTAGTAAGATAATATTATGAAAATAAGAAAGCTTGCCAGGCCTGATGGTAAATACCTATAATCCCAGCAATTCCAGAAGCTGAGGCATGAGGTTTGCAAGTTTGAAGCCAGGCTGTACAACTTAGAAAAACCTTCAGCAACTCAACAACAACCTGTCTCAAAAAATATATATATATATATACACACACACACACACATATATATATATACACACACATATATATACACACACATATATATATATATATGAGAAATGGACTGGGGATGTAGCTCAGTGGTAAATGTTCCTGTATTCCAACCCCAAAATCAGAATAAGCAAACAAAGAAAAAGAAGAAGAAGGAGAAGGTGGAGGAGGAAGAGGAGGAGAAGAAGAAAACTGAACACATATTAGCTCCATTCCTTCTTTTCACAGTTTTCAAAAAGAACCCTAAAATGCAGGACAAACTTCTTATTCAAATGGCACACATCAACATCAATATCATCATTATTATCATCATTATCATCATCAAAAGCAGTTGATGGGCACAATATCTTCCCCCTCTCTTCTTTGGCACTGCCTACAGAGGTGGCCACCATCCATATCCAGCATCATGGCTGCCCTCAGACCTCACATGAAGCCCAAAATCATCAAAAAGAGTACCAAGAAGTTCATTGGGCACCAGTCAGACCAATATGTCAAAATTAAGCTCAACTGGTGGAAACCCAGAGGTATTAACAACAGGGTGCAGAGAATATTCAAAGGCCAGCTTTTGATGCCCAACTTTGGTTATGAGAAAAACAAGAAAACAAAGCACATGCTGCCCGGTGGCTTCTGGAATTTCCTGGTCCACAATATCAAGGAGCTGGAAGTGCTGCTCATGTGCAACAAATCTTACTATGCTGACATTGCTCACAATGTTTCCTCCAATAACTGCAAAGCCATCATTGAAAGGGCAGCCAAACTGGCCATCAGAGTCACCAATCCCAATGCCAGGCGGAGCAATGAAGAAAATGAGTGGACAGTTCACACGCACATTTTTTGTGTGCTTAAATAAAAGCACAAAAACTGCAAAAAAAAAAAAAAAAAAGATGTACCAAGCATGGGGGTGCACACCTATAATCCCTGCTCCTCTGGAGGCTAAAGCAAAAGAATCATAAGTTTAAGGCTAGCCTGGAAACTTAGCCAGACCATATCACAAAATAAAATAAGCAAAAGGACTAGGCATTTAGCTCAGTGGGAGAGTACTTGCCTATCTTGTGAAGCCCTGGATTCACCCCCTCTGTATTGTAAATAACAAAACAACAACAATAAAAAATTAAGTATACTCACTGTGAGCAAGTGTGCAAGACACTTTCTCAGTCCTTCACCTTTTATCTCATTTAATTTATTTTTTGCATTCATCTCATGGTGAATTATGTTTATTAACCCCATTTTACACATGAGAAAAGTAAGGCACAGAAAAGTTACTAGTTGATCTACTCATTTATACAGCTAATGATGAGGTACCATAGTAGAGTATAACTCTAAGAACCTTGTGGTTAAAAGAAAGTTCTGTTTTATTTTCTTCATTATCTATACTTTTGAATAAACATGATTGAGTTGTCTGTCTTATTGAACAACCAACAATAAAAATTTTAAAAAAGATAATTCACCATAATCCAAGCACAAATATATTCAAATAAATATGCATAGATACAATCTATTATTCCATAGAGCTCACATCCTACAGATGAGAGTGATATTAATGTAGGTGAACCATCAGGAGGAGATAATTGTAGTATGCTGTGATAAGTTTTACACAATAGTGGAAAACTCATAGAAAGAGTTAATGGTGAAGGGTCAGGAAGCAAAATCTTTCTAGAATGTTAAACAGCAAATGTGAATACCCAGAATCTAGGAGATCAAATTTTTATTTTAGACAATGTGTAATTATTTAGGAGTAATAAGAACATGAAGTAGAAAATGGGCCCTCAAGTATGGTGAGTCTGAATGGTTATTAGAAGACAAATCTAGACATGTGTATGAGTTTGGGTCTTTATGCTAAAAGTGATGCAGATCTTCTAAAGGTTATTCATCATGGGAATAATGTTTGAGGTTCAATAATATCTTTCAAGTAGTGTTGTATAAATTGATGTTGAGGGATAATGGGAAAACTGATGTTGAATATAAGAATTAGAAATAATTAGAAGGACTGGGGATGTGGCTCAAGCGGTAACGTGCTCGCCTGGCATGCGCAGGGTGCTGTGTTTGATCCTCAGCACCACATAAAAATAAAATAAAGATGTTGTGTCCACCAAAAACTAAAAAATAAATATTAAAAAATTCTCTCTCTCTTTCTTCTCTCTCTTTAAAAAAAAGAAATAATTAGAAATATGTGGAAATTGTATTCATTTTTAAAAAGATGGTAAAAGCTAGTAAGACAAGAACAGATTTGAAACATTAACATGAGTGAAACAATAAGCAAACTAGATAAATCTGTGTTGTGTGTGTGTGTGTGACAATTAAAACAACCAAGGATGAGTCCCATCTTGTTAAACTATATCATGATAATGGCCTTCATCTTGTTTTCCTCTTTAAATATGATTCCCTGTATATATTAGCCACTTTATCCTCCTTTTTCCTGCTTCTACTTTTCACCTCTCAAAGATCAAGCCCTACTTACCCACCCAGAATTTCAATAGTTCCACAATTTTCAGAATAGAGCAAACTAGAGAAAGGAGCTGAAGCAACTTACACATGGTAAGGCTAGATTTAGCTCCTTTGCCACATAACTAGACTGCAAGCTGAGTGAAACCCCAAGGTCACAGACAAATTGTTTTAACTGGACTGATGCCCCTCCCAACAGGGCAACCAAGGAAATCAGACCCCAGACCATCACTGGGATTCAGGGCATTCAATCTGCTTCCCCTGATCCTGGAGCGAAGTTATGGCTGAGCAATGATATCTGACTCACAATTTTCACTCTTATGCTTCTATTTAGATAATGAGGCTTTGTGCACTAATTATCCATAATATGCCATAATTATCCTTTGAGTTTGTTGTGGGTGGGCTCCTTTTCCCACATGCTTCTTCTAGAAATTTGCTTAGTGCATCGAACTTCTCCTATGACCATGGCACTTTTGCCAGGTCCACGCTCCAGGAAATAAACCGTGACCATAAATTCTCATTCCCAGTTAGGGAGATAGTTACTTATTGTTCATATTTCCCGAAAACTACCCCTGGAGTTTGGAAAGTCTTCCAATTGACTTTTCACAGATTATTGGTCCCCAGATGAAGCTTCTTGGCTACCTGATGTTGGTCACATATATGAGAAACAATCTGGGTCTAGACTACTCCAGGAACCCAGTACCGTCCACTGTCAGCCACACCTGCCCTACTTACTCAGCCCAACCTGAGTGGTGTCCAGCACAGGCTCCAATCCTGTTCTGTTTTCTCTCTTTTTTTTTTTTGTCACTAAGTAGTCATGTTCTATCAATTCATTCTGAGATGTGACAGACATTATCTATAAATTTTCCTTTCCCTGGCATAGAATTTCAGATACATACAATATCTCTTAATTGTAGAAGATATAAAAGAGCCCAAAATGGCATCCACATGCTTTCATTCTTCAGACTCACCATAAAGGAGACTAATTTTATAAACTATTGCACAGTATTTGCAAAACAGTTTATTTAAAATTTATTTAAATTTGTCTTCTACTCTCATGCCATCTGAAAAATAATTCAGTTTCTTATCTCTTCTACTGAATAGTCTATTGATTAATCAAAAATTATATTATAGTGTCAGCAAAGATATGAAAAGATTGGAACCTTAATCCACTGCTGGTTGGAATGTAAAATGATACAGCTAAGTTGAAAAATAGTTTGGTAGTACCTCAAAAATTTAAACCTAGGCTTACCATCTGACCCATCAACTCCTAGAAATCCTATGTTTACACAAAAATGTGTAGGTAAATGTTCACAGTAGCATTATTCATAACAAACAAAATGTGGAAATAACTCTAATGTCTATCAAATGGTGAATGGAGAAATAATAAGCACACAATAAAATATTAAGTCCTAAAAAAGGAAAAATACTGATACATGGACAAATCTTGAAAGTATCACCAGTACAAAAGATCCCATTGTGTGATTGTGTGTGTATGAAATGTTCTGAATAGATACCTGCACACAGACAGAACATAGATCAGTGATTCCCGAGACAGGGTAGTGAGGGGAAAATGGCTGATTGCTAAGGTATACAAGTTTTCTTTTTGTCTCGATAAAAATATTCTATGACCACATAGTAGTAAGGATTTACAACCTTGTAAATATAATAAAATTGTGTAATTCATACACTATAAAGGTAAATTTTATAATATGTGAATTATATCTCAAAAGAAAAAATGAAGATCCAGCGTGAAACATATAATGAATGAAATATTTGGCAATGTCATAAAAATTTACCAGATTAGATAATTAGAAAAATTAGATACAAATTGAGTCTCAAAGCTTTAAATCAGATTGTATTAGACTTCTCTAATATTTTTTATCTCTTTAGTCCTCTTATTTCCTAAAGCCTGAAAGTAATTGCAACATCCTACACACTTTTAGGAAATTCTGAACTCCCAGAGATGATAATTTATTATTTGAAAGAAAATTGTGATTCCATTTATTCCTATTATAATGTAGCTTGTTGATTTTGTATTATTGTTTCAATCTATGGGGAAAAGTATCTAAATTTAATTCTCAGGAAAAGATGTATAAAAATGTGACAAATTCTCTTCAAATCATAGATAACTTGACACATGCATATGTAAGTGCTCATTGGCATACATTTAGAGGCACAACAGATTATATCCATAGGAAGGTTTCATGAAATCATAATGAATTGCAATTCAGGGTACAGGGAATCTGTCTATTGCAATGTTAACATTTAGTACGCATTTTTTATAAAGTGACTTTATCCTAGCTATTAATTAAAGATGATGATTAGTCCAAATAACCTGCAATGAGGTGAGGATTCTGGATTCTGACCATGTCTCTGACCTCCCTACCCCTCAGTTATTCTCTCCAGCCACACACTGACCTTCTGGTTCAACTTGTGGTAACTAAGTATTTACTGACTCAGAGACTTTGCATTTAATCTTTACACACACAGAGACGCACACACACACACACACACACATTCACACACCTGGAAAGTTCTTTGTCTAAAACTATTTTTTGAATGTTTCTTTGTGCCATTAACATGTGTACTCAGAGGCCTTTCTAAACCATCCTAACTAAATCTCAGCTCCTCACCATCCCAACCCCACCTCATCCCTTTGCTATACCCAATTCTGCTATATTTTTTCACTGAACTTGCCATTACCTGAAGTTATTTTTAACTTATTTGTTTCAATATTATCTTTCACTCTTACTAGAATATATGAGTTCCACCAAGAGAAGGGGAAGGGCTTTGCCTCCTCACCTCTCAATCAAGCACTGAGAACAGGGCTGTCTCCTCTTAGTCCTCAGTGTGCGTGCACTAATTCAAGGAACTCACTTTTTATTCCACAAAATAGGCTAAAGTTGTATATTTTGTTTTTAATTTTCTGTCAATGTGTATTTATTATGTGTTATCAATTGTCAGTTATTTCCACTCTGAAGGGACAAGTAGAAGTAACATATGTAGGATAAGATTCAAAAGATTTGTGACACTTGCACTTCAAAACGATTAACTCCAGCATTGGTTACTGAGAGCCATTGTGTAGTTCTTATCTGAACAGATGTTTATCTGTAGATCAGAAGTGTACCTGTCCTCCTCTCTGTAGCGGAGAAAAGGATGTGCTCCAAATCCTGTGGCATGCTATTAATCAGGCATGTGTATTTTGATTCTCCCATAACTTAATGTGACAGTGGTAGTGAAGCTATTAAACACAAAAATAGCATTTGATCATTTCAAATAAGGGTAATTCAAAACAGACTTCATTAAAACATTCTATTATTTTCATGACTTTCCATAATGCAGAAATATCAAAATGCTAATTAGAATTCCTGTTTTCATATTGTTTGGTTGCCATAACTCAGCTTA